TATTTTATCACTCTTGGCGATTCTCCGGTCTCTTGGCGAACAAAGAAACAAAGTGTCGTTTCCCGATCTTCGGCTGAGGCCGAATACAGGGCTATGGCAACCACTGTTTGTGAACTAAAATGGCTGAAATCCCTGCTTTTCTCCCTTGGTGTGCGTCACAAACAACCCATGCGGTTGTTTTGTGATAATCAGGCAGCCCTCCATATTGCAGCTAATCCTGTCTTCCATGAGCGTACGAAACACATTGAAATTGATTGCCACTTTGTGCGTGACGAAATCCAACGAGGTGTTTTGTGTACTCGCCACATCTCCACCAATGAACAACCGGCAGATCTCTTTACAAAGGCTTTGGCTTCCGCTCCATTTTCCCATTTGCTGTCCAAACTGGGCATCCAGAATCCGCATGCTCCAGCTTGAGGGGGGGTGTTGGGCGGTGCTCCTTGGACCACACGGCAAGAAGGAGAGCAAATCCCATTCTAAGTGGGATTGCTCTTGATTTGTTTCCTTGTTCATATTTAGTGATTTGTTTCCTTGTAGGAATAGAATTCCTTTTGTGTTTTGGTCTTTATCCTCTCCTATAAATAAAGGAGAAACTCCTTGTACTTAGCAGAACAATTCAATATACAGAATATTTTCCCTCTTATTATTTTCTTCATTACCCCTACTTTTTCATACCCTATCTATCACATCATACTTTTTCACTAACAACTAAACTATCACATCTTACTTTTATCCATCACATCAAGGGCAAAATTAGAAAGTCAACTACAATTTAACACTTCCTTATTTTTCCCCAAAGTCAAAAGAGGAACTCTTTTGAGAAACAGAGGGAGTATGTTCGAAGATTTTTTTTAGGACGGGAGGGAGTATAAAAAATAAATGAATGTAAATATACGTACTTTATGGCTATATTTATGCATTTTTGAATGTGTCGTAAGAAAAATCAATCTTGACAAGTAATGGAACCTTTTAAATACTCCCTCGATTTCAATTTAATTAATCTTCACAGTTACTATTATGATATCTCGATAACTTATACTTCCTCCATACCTTAAAAATGGGATGTTTTGATTTTGAAGAGATTTAAGAGAAGTGTATTTTGGTATTGAATTTCCAAAAATGTTCTTTGATGTGATGGGTAAAAGTATGATTTGATGGGTAGATTATTAGTAAAAAGGTATGATGTCATAGGTATGATATGAAAAAATAAGAGGTAAAAGTAACTTTTTAGTAGAATTAAGAAGTGTTTTTTGGGACGATGAAAAAAAAGGAGAAAAGTTTTCAGGGACAGAGGGAGTATTTGTATGCATGATTTCATTATTAATCATTTGATCATAAAATGAAATATGTTTGTCGACTCTTATTTTGTAAATTTTTTTATGTAGACTTGAACAATGTAATTTATAAGAGTATACTCCCTCTGTTCTATAAAAGTGTTCCTATTTTGACTTTGTGTAAAAATAAGGAAGTGTTAAATTGTAGTTGACTTCCAATTTTGTCCTTGATGTGATAGGTAAAAGTAAGATGTGATGAATTGAGTATTAGAGAGAAAGTATGATGTGATAGGTAGGGTATGAAAAAGTAAGGATAAAAGTGGTTTTTTAATAGAAAGTGGAAGTGTTTTGTTGGAAGTAAAAAAAATGAAAGAGGAAGAGTTTTTGAGAACGGAGGGAGTACTTTTTATCTCAGTATCAATTTGTAAACATTTTTTTTAAAAAGAGATATAATTTTGTACGATATTTTCAAATAAGAAGAATAAATTAGGACGGAGGAAATATAAACTAGGTATAAAGTAATTAGTAACTCACCTATTTACGCAAGAGGGTTGCTCATGATCATCACATTCCTTCCACGACTCAACATCTTCCGTCCATATCCCCTAATAATATTATTACTTTGTTAAGATTTATTAAAGTTCTTTATGTTATGAATGAGAAGAGAATTTGATCCAAATATAAAATTAAAATTTTTAAGTTTTTTCAAAAATGGAATTTGAACCAAATTTAGATTTGAAATCCAAAATCATATTCCCAAACATACCATTAACCAATTTAGTTGAACTCATATAAGATTTAGCTACAAGCAAATGTATGTGTATTGTCAAAATTTGTTTAGAGGATATAAAAATTGTGGGTCTCACATTTGTTATACTAAAAAGAAAAAAAAAATGTTATAAGCTATCTAGGACAAAAATAATTCACAAAGTGTGACTCATTATTATTATAACATGACTTAATTACATGGGTGAGGTTTTGTAGAATGGCGTGTTGGAGAAGGTTGATATCGTTGTCGTAGTAGTCTTTTGCTGCTGTGAGAATAATTTCTCTGTCCCATACCTACACATATACGGAGTATATATATACAAACACTATTATATTCCCAAGAGTAAATGAAAAATAATTCAATCCCTCTTTTTTGGGACATACTAAAAATTAAATTTATATTAAAATAAGACATTACATGTTGTCGTTTCACAACTTTTTTAACGACATATATTTGATATTTTAATTTTGTTTTTCGGCATATATAAAAAGCTGAAAGTTTTATTTTGATATAGTTCTCGCAATTAATTAGGGAGTAGTAAATTTAAATTTATCTTACGTGGTGTAAGTTAGATTTATGAGTGAACCAACGCAAGTCTATGGTGTTTCCTCCTTCGTCACTTGTAAACCCAACGTGCATTGGCTGTAAGTGCATAATTAAGAAGAAATTAAATAAAGAGCATTTCTATTTTTTAAATGAAAAATAATAATTAATCACACCATATTATTTCAAAATGTTATAAATACTCTTTATGTCTCCTACTTTTTTTTAGATTTAATTTTTTCACGATCTCCAGTTTAATACTTTGATCATTAAAATATCTATTTATATATGAATATAGATTATATATAACCAATTAACCTGATGGATATCTCCCATAAAGTGTGCCAAAAATAAAAGAGCCTCCGTCATATTATCTGTTACAATATATTGTCGAACAAATTAAATTAATAACGAATTTATCTTACAATAATAACAAAAATATATAATACTCTTCTCCCACGCCCTCGGAAACGATTTGAAGTCAAAATTAAAAGAACTTTGATAATCAATTAAATAAATATTACTCCGTTTTATATATTAATTAATAAAATGAAATAAATATTTTTGAAAATATTACATGGAGGGTCGGAAGATGATGGCGTGTAATGAGAGAGCTGAGTTGTGAAGTTTTGGATGGCCCCAGCAACACACATATCCTTCACTCCTTGTTCATCATGGCAGTCCCCTTTCACACACATTAAATAAAACAAAATACAAATTAAATGAATCGAGTATTTATTATTATTATTATTATTATTATTATTATTATTATTATGGGTTATTTTACTATTTTAGAATGCGGAAACGTTCACAAAAAAAATGGAGTTGTCACATCAGAAAATACATAAGAATACCTTTAATATACATAAAAGTGTGAAGTCTTACCTATCAGCTTAAGCTTTTAAGGTTCAAAAGTAGATCTAAACTTCATATACAAGTGGTTAATTTTTCCCAAAAATCTTTCAGTTGTTCTTAGCCTACAGAAATTTTAACAAAAAAATAATAGTAGTATAATTAGTAAATAAAATCGATCATTAATTATATTATAGTGATATTTGCACAAAGTAGCACCGAAACTAATATTTTTTTCCCCGGAGGCAGCGAACCCATTTTTTCAAAAACTAACATTAAATTAATTAATAGGTAATTGTTAACAATACAAATTTACTAAACAAACCTTGTATCTAAATTATTTTGTACTCCATATAAAATATAGACTATACTCCGTATGATTTATCTCTTTGATTGATTCTCTTTTTTCTTGATTTGTTTATATTTTTCTTTTTGATGGATATTGTAAAAACTTATTGACATTACTCACTAATTTAGGATATTATGATATATAGCGAAATTCACTATGTTTTTGTGCTATTCAAAAAAAATTTCCATAATTATATCACGTACTCTGATAATCAAAGTTGCAGGCTTGATCAGGAGTGTCGATGAAATGGAGTGGAGCACTCCAACGGTATTTATACCAGTGTCTCACTTGGTCCGGCCATACACACAGCGCCGACAAGTCGCCGTCCACGTACTCCGGCAACAACCTTCTAACGCTCTCTGCCGCCTCCTCCCTCAGAAGACCCTTTTTTTTTCATATATTAACACACACAAAATTAAATTAGATATATACTCCTCTTGATGGATTGTTTTATACATTAAAATTTTGATGGATTGTTAAATTAATACTCGTCTCGACTTTAAATTGTCTATCTACTACTCACGGGTTCAAACTTTAACCGTTTTTTTAATCATTTTCGTTACTTATTTAATAAAATGATATAATCACGTCATATATAGTTTTGCAAAAAAAATTGATGTAGTTTCATTTGCACCCCCAAGAAACTCAACAATAATATACATTCTTCTTAATTTTCTTAAAAATTAAAATCTCTAATGTTTTCAGGAACGAGGAGAATATTGTATTGGGGCTACAAATTAAAAACCTGTGCAATGGTACAAGTGAAGATATGCCCCTCCTTGCTCCATGCATCAACAACGCCCCCAATCACACCAATAATTACAAAGCCGACGCACCATGAAATTAGCCAACCCAGTGACCAAGAACACCTACCCTTGGACATTTTATTTTTTCTTCTTTTTTTTTCTTTTCTTTTAGCTTGGATATGATATAGTACTATGCATTATGAATTAATTATTCAAATATTTGGGAAATAATAACTTTCCTGTACAGAAGCTGATAACTGCTGCCAGACTATATATATTTGATTGGGATCTTATATATAATCTTGAGACATTATTATTCACCAATATATACTCCCTATATATATATATATATATATATATATATATATATATATAGAAACAAGATTTTTTTGTTTCCCCTTGTAAAGAATAATTAATTAATACGGAGTAGTAAGGATAACGTAACAGTAAACGATTCTGATTGTGTGCAAGTTATGTATGCAAGTGGGCCTGCCTTTCTTCCATCCTCGTACGTGCTTATCAAACTAATTAAGTTATACACTCTCTGTGCCTGAATATTGGTTAATTTTTGACTTTTTTCAATCAAAACTAATAAATTTTGATTTAAAATTAAATAAAAATGATATTAAATATTGATAATAAAATAGTTTTATTAGATTTATTATATCAAATATTTTTAAAATATTATTTCGAAAATAATATATTCACACACACAGAGAGACACACACAGTCACACACATACACACTATTATCTAATTAATTTAACATTTATTTTTATTTTGTTTAATTATAGATCAAAAGTCGATCTTGAATTCCTAATTGGTTATCAAAAATGTTAGAATAATAGACCAACGCTAGAGGGGGATGAATAGCGTTTGATCGTAGAAATTGCAGGAATAAAAAAATTAAGAAAGTGAAAAGTAAAGAGCGTAGAAAGCGTAATGGGAGCACACCAAGATTTATACTGGTTCACCACAACGTGTGGCTAATCCAGTCTCCCGAGAGACTCTCTCGAGCTACACTACTTCCGTTAAGCTTACGAGTGCTTAACAAACCGTTACAACCTGAGAACTCGAGTGCCACGAGCCTCAACAACACTTGCTCGGAGATACCGCACTCCAAGACTTCAACCCGAAGGAATATACCTTTCCTTCGTACAACCAAGGGAAAAAAGCTTCCCTTAACGTGTATACAACACTAAACACTCAAGAACAAGACTCTCTTTAAGAGTAGATGATGAGTAAACTAAGTACGTTCAAGAACAACTCAAACTTCACACAAATTGGCTCTAGAAAGCTATGGAAAATGATGTTGTTTGAATGCAATGATAATATGACTAATGTGAAGTGAATTGGTGAGAAAAGCAGACCCAAACACCCCTTTTTATAGTGCCAAAATAGGCTCCAACGGACCAATGCATTAAAGGGGTGATTAGCTTGATTTATGGGATTGAAAAGATTTGGGATCTGCAGGATATTGGCTTCCCATCGATGTTAGAGACTTACCCATCGCTGGTAAGCCAATTTTCCTTCAGTTTTGAAGCCAACGGTTGCCTACCCATCGATGGGTACAAGCTTCCCATCGCTGGGTGGGAGGTTGACTTCCAAACAAGGAAAGAATCAACCTTAAATGACTTCCAACGGTCATGCCTACCCATCGATGGTCTATCCTTACCATCGATGGGTTCTCATCGATGGGATAGGTTTCCCATCGCTGGGCAAAGTCGTTCTACCTTGTGTTAATGTTGCACCAAGGCTTTAACAGCGATGGGTAGAGCTTCCCATCGCTGTTTGGCATGGTTCTGGAAGTTGGTTTGGCTAAGGGACCGCTTACCCATCGATGGGAAGATCTTCACATCGCTGGGTGGGTGGTTAGCCAAAAACCCATAGTCTTTGCCTTAACCACGGCCTAGCCAACCGATGCAAAAACCGACCGAAAAATCCAAAGTTCTCCAAAATAAAAACCAAGTGTTTGAAACACTTGTTTGATGTATTTGGCTAAGAAATCAAGTGAGTTACTTTAAAACCACTTCATTTGAGTAAAAACCACGGCTAGCCAAGTTTACGCCGTTTTGCGTGGTTTTTGTCAAACGACCAAAAGCGAAAGATGGTTTTCAAAGTATTTTTGTTGGAGAACTGTTTAATCATGCCAAAGAATGGAAACCAATCATAAAATGCTGAAAACCACTTGGTTGGTTCGGATGCCAAAAACCAATGCCGATAACCGAAAGCCGAATGCTGGTTTATGAAAGCCGAACACTAGATGGCCTAGTTTTTGGTTTGGGTGAACACCAAGTATTTTTAATGACTTAAACAAGTTTGAAAAACATTTTTATGATGTAAGAAATGCAATGAAAGATTTTAGCCTAAAGAGCCAAGGTGTAAAGATTGGGTTGGTCTTGATCACAATGAAGACCGACTCAACGATACTAAGACTAAGGTCTTCGTTCTTGGTCTTCGTTTAGCTCTTGTTCTTATCTTCATTCTTTGCCTTGTATATTCAATGTTTGACTTGATCACGGCAGTTTGGCATTATCAAAACCTGTCATAAAAACAAACACGGCTTTAGTACGACAACGTGACAGGCCCGCGTTTCAACAAAAAATAATCTAGGATGGAGAGCCTACTTAGTATGTACTCCACAATTTATAAGGTCTAACCGTCTAAGAATTTACAGGAGTATGCTAGAATAAACTAAAAAAAACTCAGCTCTATTCTTTAAGGGGTTAACTCTTAACTTGTAGAAGTTAATAACTTTTTAATTTATGAGTATTTTTTTTTTTAATTTCTTCTAACCCCCAAGTATTTACCTCTATTGTTTTTAAATTTCCAACTCTTTTTATACATCAAAATTTTAGTGTAAAGAATCATGATTTATTAATAATGCTTTGAATCAATTTTTTAATGAGTCAAAAGAGTAGAAACCATCAACTTTTTTACTTAATCTAAATTTGGAGCAGTGCATGTCCTAATATATACTGTATGACATTGAGAATGAATGTAGTTGACACTTATGTACTGTAGAAGATGAAATACGGAGTAATATACTCCAGTATATACATACATCGATAATCCCAAATTGCTTTTTTTAAGTCTTGAAAAAAATGAAAATGTAATACTCCCTCCATTCCAAAAAGTCTTTCACGTTTCAAAAAAATAGTGTATCACAATCTCTTTCTCATTTATATTAAAAAATCACTTTTACCCTTTACTTTTTCATACTCTACGTATCACATCATATATTTTTCCTAATAATCTACATATCATATCCTACTTTTATTCATCACATCAAGAATATTTTTAAAAAGTCAATACAAAATTATCTCTCCTTTATTTTTCCAATTTAGTCAAATGTCCCTCTCTTTCTTGGACGAAGGGAGTATATATTGGAGCTAGCAACCTATGCAATGCTACAAGTGAAGATATGCCCCTCTGTGTTCCATGCATTATGGCCAATCATACCAACAATTACAAAGCCGCACCATATTACCCAACCCAATGACCACACGCTTGGACATTTTCTTTTCTTTTTTCTTTTAGCTAGAACATGTAATACTATCACCCAAAACACACTACAACAATTCGTCCAACACACATCTCTTATACGAAAGACTCCATCCACCGGAACGAGCATAGAAGTACAAGAGACCAACCGTGTGACAATAAACTAAGGGAAGTTTGCGGCTTATTACTCCCACGATATCTTCTCTCAACTTCTTCGTAAAGCTACAATTATTAGTGTTGTTTTACATTGTGGCAATATTTTTCTTCACTATCTTACCAACTCTGGTTAACCTTCCTTTCTTGGGAACTATCTCCCTTTGTACGAGATAACCCATACACATCATAAAACATGCTACGTTGAGACGTTGTTACCTTATCAACCCGTCAAAAATTTCCTCCTTTAACAAGCTTCCGAAATTCGCCTAGAAGCACATCCTCTTCACCAACCACGATTAGCCCCATTTAACCCGAGGATGTCACTATAAAATGATCATTAGAGAAGGCTGGCCTCAAATTAGTTGTGATTGGTGAAGATGTGCTCCTAAGTGAATTTTGGAAGCGTGTCAAAGAAAGAAATGTTCGTCGGGTTGATAAGGTAATAGGGACTCAACAAAGCATGTTCTATGAGGGTATAAGTATCCCGTACGAGATGCAAACATGGATAGTTTTCGAGAGAAAAAAGGTTACCAAAGTTGGTGAGAAGAAGCAAAATATTGCCACAATGTGTAAAAACACTAATAATTAGAGCTATACGAAGAAGCTGAGTGAAGACATTGTGGGAATAATAAGCCGCAGACTACCTTTAGTTTATTGTCACACGGGTTGGCCTGTTATAATTCTATGCTTGTTTTTGTGGATTGACTTCTTCACTCAAGAGACGTGTTGGACGAGTTGTTGTCATGTTTTGAGTTATAGTATATCATGTTTAAGCTAAAAACACACCAACAAAAAATGGAAAATGCTCAAGCCTCATCTCTCTTACTGCCACTTACAACCTCACTGCAGCAGCGGCCAAGTTTAGAACCATCAAAAGAGAACAGATTCAATGCATTTGAAAAGCTTACATCTGCGAGTTTCTCGATGCTCATTTCAAGTAAAGATGCCACATAGTCAAGTACGGCTTTAATATTAGCAGGGTGGTTTAGCCTCTCTTCACTCCCCTCTTCTGTCAAAACCAAAGCATCTTCTAGACTGTTGCATAGTGTGGGAAACCCGTCGGGCGCGTCGGTCTCCAACAAAATCCTTTCCAATGGAACTGATCTCACCATTTTCTTTGCCTTGCTTTCTTTTAGAGACATCAGAAACCCGGAGAAAGAGAAGTAAGCACCTAACTTAGCAAATTCAGGAACCATTTCTGCAGGCCCAAGAAAAGAATGAAGAATGATGCCATTAGGGAAGGGGCCCTCAGATTTGAGTATCTCCAGAAGATCCCCATAAGCACAGACACAATGGGTAGAAACGGGTCTTTTCAATTCTTTGGCAACGCAAAGTTGCTGCCTAAAGACTTCAACCTGATCACGAAAATCGATCTTCTTTCCAACTGATCCTTTGTCCAAACCAATCTCACCAACTGCAGCTTCTGGTGTTGCCTCAAAGTATTCCTTTAGTGTCTTTAGCCAATTGGGACTCCTGTCAGAAATGAACCAAGGGTGGAGCCCGAAATTGGGAACCACGCTCGGATAGTTTTTGCTGATCTCTTTTACCGTCTGCCAATCATTCTCCGACACACCATTCACTGCAAAATGGACCACTCCTCTGTCCACGGCGCTCCTAATGATATTCGGGACCATGTTTAGGATCCTTGGATCTTGGAGATGGCAATGTGCATCAAAAAGCTTCATTTTTCATTCATAAATCAACTGATTTCAGTCACCTACAAATAGAAAACAATTCATTCACATAAATTTTAACAGTAAAGAACTTTTTAAAAGTAAAATACACTAAAAAGTACATTAGTTCTGATTTATTTGAACTTGTTGTATTAGTTCTTGCAGCTCTCCATCTAACTGTAATTAGTTATTGCATTCTTATTATATTAAGAGGAGCCACCTTCTATAGCTTCTTTACCTTGTCTTATGTTGTCATGTTCGATACAAGTGTTCTGATGAGGAAAGGTAGTTGTAGATGTAGGGGTTGCACTATGCTCTCTCCACAGATTTTTCCATGATTCATTCCTCAGATAGTTGTTATCACTCTCTAATAGTGGACTATATTTAAGTTTCTCATCGGCACAACATCCAAATATTAGGTCGAAACAAATTTTAAGCTTAGGCTCGACCCTTTTTCTTGGAATTGTTCCAATTTGGGATTTTCCTACAACACACAAAACACTAGGCACTATCGGTGTAAGTAATTTGATCTCAAAAAAAAAGTTCCAAAACCAAATCTTAGCTTTCAATTTCCACCAATCTTAGCTTTGGATTTAAATACTTTCCACAGACACCATATATCATCCAATATCATTTTTTAGTTCGCTTCTAAGCCCAAACAAAGTCATTTTTTTTGGAACTCTGATTCCCTCTTCTTCCCCATCAACATATAGAGTACAAAGATTACATTTAAAGTGAAGTGATTCTTTCGAGAGAAAAGATCTCTATCTAGCTCCTTGATTTTCATTCTATCTTCATTTTGACTCCCTTGACTTCCATGTTCAATATTCATTTGAGTTGGTTTCTATAAACATTAAATAACACGAAAAAGTTGGTATCAAAAACTAATAAAATCAAGAATTAAAAGTTCAATCTAGAACTTTAGGTTTGGACATTGATTTATTTATCAAAACATGTTATATAGCCCTCAAGTTCAATACCCACAGTATCAAATATAAAAATGGCCTCTAATTTGGAGTCATGAAAAAAAACAAGAGATGAAGCTGGAAATATATTTCCATCTATTCATCCAAAGACATGAAACCACAAACTTGTCTCTTTTGAATCATTTAACACACTGATAAAACCCAAAACCTCATATCAAAATTGATTCCAAAACAGTATATAAATTTCATTAACAAAAACCAAACCTCGTATAAAAAACCTAACTGGCTCAGCTTCTACTTAAATAGCGCAATGCAACGAGCTGATTTCATTGTCCCACACCAGCCAAATGGGAGAATTGGTGATGGGTTTAGATAGCCTGAGGTTCTCCCGCCTCAATAGCTAGTTTTTGGAGTGTGGCACTCCCTAGTGTTGTATCAGTGGTATCAGAGCCAACTCGGAGTGGTGGTCTGGTGACCAATGTAGCCGTGACCAATGAGAACGATGGCCTTTAAGGGGTCGAATGGGCTGATTTCATTGTCCCACACCAGTCAAACTACTTGGTGATGGGTTTATATAGCCTAAGGTTTTCCCACCATAATAACTAGCGTTTGGGGTGTGGCTCTCCCTAGTGCTCTATCACGCAAATAGAGAAAGAAAAGAAAACAAAGAAACGAAGCTCGACATACCTTTGGTGATGGAAGGAATCCCGATCTAAAACAACCGCTCACTTGTCAACTCCTCTCTGGAATTCAATAATTTTCACTTTTCATATTAATTTTATCGACTACTCTAGTAATATTTTTGATAAATTTGGTTACTGTCTCTCTAATTTCAAGCTTATTGAATTTTTTTTGTTAGATTTAATCGTATTGTTTAATTCCTGGTCAAAAGTTCGTTAGTTTATATTTAAATATTAAAAATAAAAGGGAGAGTTATAGGTAGTTATTTTTGGAAGTTATAGGTAGTTATTTCTGGAAGTTGTGTTAGTTAGTAATAGATGTGTTGATTAGTACCAATAATTGTGTTGGTTGTTGTCTATAAATATTCCAAGAACATAGAATTCTTGTATGTAATTCACAATAAAAAAATCACAGTTCTATTCTGCATTTGATCTGTTCTTCCTATCATTGTTCTAATATTTGGTAACAGAGAGAAAACCCAATAAGGACCCAACGATCAAAGGGAGCTGTGATCACGAGTTGTATGATCGGGAGCAGAAGGGCTGCCAGATCATAATACAAAGCGTAAGAGAGTTCCTCGACAATAGATCAAAATTGTATGATCGTTTTAGGTCTTATCAGTTCGGTCCTATTCATTTCGGTCCGGCTCGGTCTAAAACAGAATGCTTATAGGTCCAGTCTTCGGTCTTTATTTTTTTACAAATCGGTCTTCGGTCCAGTCCTAGACCGATGAACAGCCCTAGTCCCTGGTTCTAAAACCCATCAGGTTTATTCATCCATTTTGATGATTGATCATAGCAACGCAATCAATAATTTAATATCATCAATTTTGTTGATTCAATGTATTTTATCCAACACGTTTAGTTTCGAATCCAAAATTTTTTATTGAAGATGGAGGTTAGAAGAACTAAAGAACAAAGGAAGAATACCTGACAAAACCTACTCACAAGGCCGATCCGTAACATAAAGAAGCCCTGTGCAAACAAAATAGACCATTGTATCTAATTAGTCCAAAATTTAAAAAATTTGGAAACGAAATATTAGACTTCTTAAAATGATGTAGGAAACATTAATACAAGAATACATAAAAAGAGACATCTTTATACATTTTGATGTGAAATCGTCAATCAAGCTATCCATTTCTACTTCTTCCAATCTCTAACATTCACTTGATATCAAGGCCAATCCATTCAGTCTTTCTTGCGACATAGTTGAACACAAGTAATTCTTCAATAACTTGAACTTTGAAAAACTTCTTTCCGCTTATACAAGTTATTGGATCATATTCGTCACCTAAAGCAGATTTTTTGGTATTATCCATATTAAAAGGTGAACCTATTTTAGTATTTTCAATATTATCAACATCAACATCTTCAATTTGATCACTTTAAACACAATTTTCAACAATGTTGACAACACACCCATCTTCTAAATTTCCGAATCCACGGCTAAATCCACAATAGAAAAACATCAGATCCACATTACAAAAAACAAATCTATACAAAAAAAAACTAAATTCTTAACCCAACAAGTAAACATCACATCATGAATGTTTACATTGAACATCATTGAATTCCATGAAAAGCTCTTACATTCTTAGCTAGCATCTTCTACATGATATCTTCTTCAGTATATGTACAGTACAAAAAAACTTTAGATGAGTACATACAATGTTGTAAACATATCGGATACACCCTAAATTGAGACACCTATCGCTGCACATAACCATGAGTGGTAATTTAGCGGATGCCAAAAACCACATGGTGCATAAAAATATCAAGCCAAGATATGGTGTAAACTTAAAACCATTGTAGAAAGTAACTGTTAAAATGCATACTGATTTTTTTCAAAATTCATACTGATGTTTCATATTAAAGGAAAAATTAGAATGATTTTTAAAGGAATTACTTATTACAAAATCTAGAAAATCTGAAAATCATCTGTTTGAAGCAAATCTAAAATGATATTATCATAGAAGTAAATTCTATTTCAAAATCTGGAAATATCTGTTTGAATAAATTAGAAGCAAATAATGTGAAAATTTACAGTATCTATTTGAATACGATAATCGGGAAACAATACATAATCTATTTGAAAAATTACATAATCTGTTTCAATACACAATCTGAAACCGTTGGGTGCTGAAAATAATTTAAGATTACATAATAAGCATTCAGAAATGGAATAATGTGAAGATAAATACCTGCTGGGTCGCTGGATGCTGAAGCCGGGAAAATATGATGAAGCCGCTGTCGCGCTTTGGGCTTTGTGCCGATGGGTGGCTGAAATCGCTGCTTAAAGACGGCAATTGAGAGAGAGAGACGTCAATTGAGAGTCGATTGAGATAGACTCGAGCAACTCGATAAAGGTAGAGGTATCTAGTAGGAATGATCGCCTCCCAAAGTGTAACTTTGGGGAAAGGTAGAGAAAAAGCCAAAAGAGGGAAAAAATTTATTAGAGTATATTATGAAAAATTTGTATTTGGGAATATAATGTCTGTATTATACGTATGGATGTCTAATACATGTAGAGTAATTTACCTAAATATGACTAAAACATAATGACTTTCCTAATATAAGATCATATGTTTTTATTTTCCAATGTAGGACCTTTGGTCATTATGAAGTAGTCATTATTTAAGTAAATTTCCATCATTATGGATATTATTCCTCCCACTAGGTCATTATTAAGTCCTATTTAGAGAATAAAAAAGTTTAAGTTCTATATTAAGAAAGTTATTATATTTTAGTCCTATTTAGTGCAAATTTAATATACAAGTATCATATGTGAATAAGTTATGAAAACTGCACATATTAATGGGAAAAATTTAGTGGATAAATATTTCAAAAATAAAAGAGAGAAGAAACTCCCCTACTCTCCAAGACCTTCTAGCTCAGCCAAACACTAGACATGTATGGTGAAGACATGAAAAAGGGTGTACCATTGAATTCTTTTGGAATTTACACAGATTAAGGGTATGGAAGATTTGATGAAGAAGTACACTTTATAACACAAAATTATGGCTTCTTAATTTATTGCTTGCAAAATGTTAGATTTTGGTCATTAATTCCTTCTTCATGATTAAGGTACTAGTATTTTAACATGTGTCATACACGGGATCGAACGCAGTTCTTGTCGATTCTAAAGGGAGTGTATTCAATTTAGATTTTAAAAAATTTTGAAAGATTTCTTAAAATGCATGGATTATGTAAAATCTATGGATTGTTTTAATTCTACACAGAGTTAGATAGATTGTAATGTATTTTATCGATATGATTTTAAAGGATTTTGTCTGATCTGTTATTCTCACGTATAATACTTTATTAGTTATACTACATGGGGATATATGGAAACTAAATTTCATGATTATAATGTGTATATGCTTAAATCTCTATAATTCTTTTTCCATCAAGAATCAATAGGGATGGAAGCATTTATATATTAAATATTTTAAAATTGTATATTGACTTTGTAATGGTAGATTAAAATTGTTTCTAAGACAATTTGTTTTATATAAGTTATGAAACTGCTTTAATTTATTATTATTTTATTCACATTGATGATGATGATACTAATAATAAAAGTAATTATATTAATAATATGAAAAATACTCCAAAATAGTTGTACTTTAGGTCATCGTTGAAAGAAGTTAGAACGAAAAATTTAAAAGAAATAGGAAAAAGGTGAAGAAACTGAAATGGATCGAAAAATATTGAAATTTAAGAGTTAGAGTCCAATAAAAGTATAGAACATAAACTAATTATAAATGAAAAAGAAAATAATGAGTAATTATTAAACAAGTATAATAATAATAATAATAATAATATTATTATTATTATTATTATTATTATTAAAGTAATCAAATCAAAAAAAGTAGGATAACGAAAGCGTAGAATGAGATTGAGGAAATATTGCAATTTTAAAAAAATAAAGGAAACTTATTAATCAATCATATGTAAGAGTATTATCTATACTTTATTTAAAAAGAAGTGAATTTTTCCCGCCCAAACATGAGAGGATTAAATGGAAAGTTTTGTGCATGTTACCCCATTACATTTATTCTAAGTATTAATATTGGTAAGTATTACTTAATAAGTACTATATTACAATTTTTTGGTTTGGAGAATATAAAATATGTCAAAGTAATATACTCGAGTAACATTTGAGTAAGTATTAATATTGGTAAGCATTAATTAAAAATTATTATGTTTCCATTTTTAGTTGGGAGATTACAAAAAAACATATATTTAAGTGTATTTCTATGTTTCCATTTTTATAAAAATGTTAGGCTGATTATTATTTCTAATCTAAATACGAAAATAAAAAAATTACAAATTCCAAAATCAGTAAAGAAATTAAATTTTTTACATAGTTGTAAGCATCAATTAATAATTAGCGTGTTCCCATTTTTTATTGGGATAATACAAAAAAATATATTGCATATTTCTATTTTTTCATTTTCGTGAAAAGGCTAGCCTGATTACTATTTCTTATCTAAATACAAAAATAAAAAAAATTACATTTTGGTAAGCATTAATTAATAATTACTATGTTTCCATTTTTTGGTTGGGAGAATATAAAAGATATATTACGTATTTCTATGTTTCCATTTTTACTAAAAGGCTAGCTTAATTACTATTTCTATTCTAAATACGAAAATAAAAAAATATTTATATATTTTTAAAAACAATAAAGAAATTAAAATTTTCATACATATTGGTAATCATTAATTAATAATTAACATGTTTCTATTTTTTGGTTGGGAGAATACAAAAAAAATGAGAAATGCTAGGTTCACAAATCAAATGGTCACAAAGTTCACAAACTTATAATTTGTGGAGTTCAATAAACAAATAAAATAGTCTAGAATAATTTTCAAAAAAGAATATAAATCACAAATAATAAGTTGGTGAAATTTCTGATTAGTTTCTTAGCTTTATGAACTTAGCATTTCTCATAAAAATATACTGCATAGGCATTAATTTAGTAAGCATCATTTAACAATTTCTACGGAGTACTATGTTTCCATTTTTTGGTTCGAAGAATACTCAAAAAAAATATAGCATACCAATAAGTTTTCATTTTTATTAGAAGGCTTGGCTGACTATGCTGATTCTGAAAATTTTTAAAATTACAAATTCTGAAATAAAAAAAAATTAAATACATTGGTATGCATAAGTACAGTTTTTGGTAAGTATCAAATTCCGAAATGGAAAACAAATTCCGAAAACAAAAAAAATATAGTGCCTAGGCATTAATTTTGTTAAATAATTTTTACTATGTTTCCATTTGTTGGTTGGGAGAATACAAAAAAAATATAGCGTACCAATAAGTTTCCATTTTTATTAGAAGGCTAGGCTGACTAGGCTGATTCCGGAAATTAAAAAAAGTTTACAAAATCCGAAATAGAGAAAGAAATTAAAATTTTCCTACGATACATACGGACATTCTCAAACTCTTTTTGTAGTTAATTACCCTCTTTGAATTGCGTTTTGAGTTTTAAATTTATTATTAAGTTCTTATTATATTAAATATTATATTATAATTCACTCCACCTTTCGAGTAACCTGGGATTGTTAACAAATCTAAAAAATATTAGTGAGAAGTTATTAGTTTTGATGCTTAAATTAAGAGAGATAAAAGTTTATCATTTCCCCGCCCATGCCAGGGGACCCAAATCATTGGATGTAATTTTTCATGATTCAGATGTTAGTTGTTTTATTATAATTAACTTAAAATACGTATACATTCACAACGTTGTAATGATGTTAATATGCACATTTTTTCATTTGCACTATCAGAGAGATCGAATACATGTGCAGGTTAGGGATTCAAATATACGCACTTTCAATGAAAAATTAAAAGAAGATAGTGTTTATTTACTGATAGGAGTCAAAGCACTACACAATTACCAAACAACGAAAACTACCAGCCACTCTTTTTTACTAAAATTCTTTGCAAGGACAAAACTTAAAGAGATTTCGGGAAAGTTTTCCGAATTTTCTTTACAAATTTATGGGATTTTCATTACAAATTTATGGGATTCAAAAATTGACTTTTAGTGACAATGCGTTGTTAATTAGTAAACACCACTTAGATTATTATCAATTTTTATCTTTCAAAAATGATGTTAATATAAATTACTAACATAAATATGATCCGTGCAACGCACGGGTGTGATACTAGTGTGACATAGAAGTACAAATGTCAATTTGTGAATGGAGGGACATGGATATCTTCTCAATTGCAAAGACACCAAAAAAAAGTCGTAAAATAAATTTATGACATGTGGGATAGATATACCGTATTTATTAAAAATGAAGCGAAAATGTGAGAAACTATTAAAGTAATACTCTCCGTATTCCAAAAATAAAAATAGTTACTATTCTGAGCTCTCGATAAATTTAAGTTGTTAGAAAATAACAACAACAATAACAATAATAGTGTTAGAATATAAATAAATGTTTCTGGCCTACAACCACAAGCTTGAGCTTCTGGTTGAATTGGTTCCTTGACATGGTATCAGAGCCTCGTTGACTAAGAGGTCACGGGTTCGAAACTCAGCGCCACCCAGTTTAAAAAAATTAAGATTTCACGTGCAAAGCTCAAAAAAGACTACGCCTACACGTGAGGGGGCGTGTTAGAATATAAATAAATGTTTCTGGCCCACAACCACAAGCTTGAGCTTCTGGTTGAATTGGTTCCTTGACAAATAGTATTACTTATGATGGTATTGTGTATGGTAGTGTTTGACTATTAGTCAGTTTCATATTCCTATTTATGGTACATTTAAGTTAGTGTCTATTTTATATACTTAGTTGTGTTAGGGTCTCTCATATATATATTCTATCATGTAATCCATAACTTAATGAGCAATATTATAATTTCAATATTCCAACATGGTTTCTTGTTCACACATTTTCATTGATCTCACTAGATAAAATAAAATATTTTTGTCACGTCTTGATTTGTAAAATTTTTAGTGTAGTTTTGAGCAGTATAATTTATATTTTTTATTTCTATATTTTAATTCATAAATAAAATCATTTTCTAAAAGATAAAATTTTATAGTTATTTAAAATGGGGAAAAAATGGGGAGAAATTAAAGAGCATTTTTTTTCCCCTTAGATTGGGACACAAGTAAGACAACCAGGTAACATGGCGATATGAGACTAAACTTTCTTCCAACGACCAATCTCAATTGGGTAAAGTTTGATTAACAAAATTTAAAAACAGCCTTTTTTTGTTATTTTTATAACAGCACACTTAGAAATTTAATTTTCAATTAAAATTCTTTTGTTACGTTGATAAGAACTTTTAGTATTAATAAATATGACATGTGTACTTGTATAAAACATGACATGTGTAGTTTTACAGATTTTTGTTAATTATTTTTATTTTAATTAGAAATTAGAAACCGTTTGAAAAAGTAGTGTTGTATGGTGTTGAAATATTGGAATAATAATATTGCTTCTTGAATTATGAAGTACATGATAGAGTATATATAAGAGAGACTTCTAACACAACTAGGAATAGAGAATGGAGACTAATTAAAATACAGCATCTACCACAAATAGGAATAGGAAGCTGACTAATAATCAAACACTACCATAACCAATACTACCAGAAGTAATATTAGTATTATTGTCTAACATCCCCCCTCAAGTTGAACTCTGGCTGAAGCAAGAGGAAGCTTGGACACTAGCAAAAAACTGGAAACTTTGAGAAGAGAGAAGTCTGACGTGCGCCGATGGTGACTGACGTCATTAGAAAAGAGAGAAGTCTGACGTGCGCCGGTGGCTGCTGACGTCGTTGGAGAAGATATAAGTCTGACGTGCGCCGGTGGATGCTGATGTCGTTGGAGAAGAAAGAAGCTTGACGTGCGCTGGTAGCTGCTGACATCGAAGAGGAAGAGAGAAAGTTGACGTGCGCTTGTAGCTGCTGACGTCAAAGAAGAATAGAGAATGCTACTGGAGGTGCCTATTTGATTGAAGATCTTAGACATTTTTGTCTTTTTCTTGGATCCGGGCAATGCTCTATTTCCTTCTTGAATGAGTGAGTTGTTGAGGTATTTTTTCCTCTTTCACTACTTCCCCTCTTGGCTTCACTTTTGTGCTGATTTACTTTGGATTTTTATTGGTTCAACAAAAGAGAAAGAGAAGGGAGGTTAAGAATTGGTGATGGAAAAAAGATTTGGGTATAAGATTTTGATATGGTGAATTAGAGATAAACAACAATAATTTTTTTTCCTTTTTTTGAGAAGATAGCATGAGTTGAGAGAGTTTGTGAGGAGTTGGAGTTTTTTTTCGAAGAACCATGGAGATGACAAGAGAGAAGTTCCTCTTTTGATGGTTTTTTTGTATGATTTCAACAGGGATTTTTTTTCATTTTTTTCATTTGAATGGAGAAGTTGATTTGAGGATAAAAGAAGGAAAAGAAAATAGAGGTGAATAGGGTGGAGCCTCCGTCGCCGGAATTACCGGCGGCGGCGACGGAAGCAAATATCGAACTCTTTTAGATCACCAAAAGCGGTGGCTCTGATACCATGTTGAAATATTGGAATAATAATATTGCTTCTTGAATTATGAAGTACATGATAGAGTATATATAAGAGAGACTTCTAACACAACTAGGAATAGAGAATGAAGACTAATTAAAATACAGCATCTACCACAAATAGGAATAGGAAGCTGACTAATAATCAAACACTACCATAACCAATACTACCAGAAGTAATATTAGTATTATTGTCTAACATATGGTTAAGTATATTTTTTAAGAATGATTCATATGTCAAATACGGAGTATAAATTAGAAAATATTATCTAAATTAAAATTTTTGGTGCATAGGGTTTTACTAGAACTAAACATATACTTCGTATAAATTTTAGTTATTTTTTACAAATCAAATATCATAATTTATTACAATAATTATGGGATAAAATAAATGAGATGTGGTCTACCATTGAATGAGAAGTGAAAATGTGACAATCCATTAAAATAATACTCTCTCTATTCCAAAAATAGTGTTAGTTAATATTCTGAGTTCTCGATAAATTTAAGTCTTTGCACATTTTCACATATCATTGAATAAATACGGAGTAAAACATTCTTAGCACGTCTTGATTTGTAAAACTTTTGGTTTAGCTTTGAGTCATGAAATTTGTATTTTTTTTTTCATCATCAATTTGTTAATAAAAAACATTTTCTAAAAAATAAAATTTTACACGTTCGTTACTCCAAAACAAAAAAAATGATAGAAAGATCATTTTTTTAAACCTTAGATTGGGAGACAAGTAAGACAACTAGGTAACATGGTGATATGAAACTAAACTTTCTTCCAACGACCAAGTTTAATTTAAGGATTATGCTATGTGTACCCCAAGATTTGTACTCCAATTTGTACCCCGCAGTTTTGCACCAACATTTTGTTGGTGTAAAACTAATTTTTGTTTAACGCACCAACATTTGTGTCCGTGTGAATTTTTATTAACGCACCAACACTTGTGTCGGTGTAAACCATTGAAATGTTTGTGCAAACCTGTAGTGTACAAATGGGGTATATTTGTTGGTGTAAGTGTAGCATGGTCCTTAATTTAAACAGCGTACTTCCAAGTCAAAATTAAACTCCGATTCTCATCGCATGGTCCAACGTTTTACGACCACATTTATCGGTTACCGTTTTGGGAAACAATTTGCAAGTTACAGATTATGACTAGTTTGACCATATTTATCTACTCCTATTACTTTCTAATTTGTCTCTTCCTTTGTTAGCTTATTCGGATACGTATATAATACGTTTATTCGTACGTTCGTGCATAATACGGGTCACATTTTAAAAATACGTCTTATTATACACTTTATACGTTCGGGGTACGTATACGGATACGTTCGTGTTTTATACGTTTGATTTTTGAAAAATATGGCTTATAGTTAGTACAAATATTTTTAGTAAGAAAGACATTTTTGTCATTGAATTTGAATACAAATACACCATAAATAATTTTTTACGCAAATAATGTTGTTGCTTACTACTCCCTCCGTCTCCAAATAAACTTCCCCTTTAGTTTTTTCTTTGTCCCCAAATAAACTTCTCTTTTCCCTTAAAAAACCTCTTTTGCCTCTTACTTTTTCATACCCTACTTATCACATTATACTTTTTTACTAATAACCTACATATCACATCTTACTTTTACACATCACATCAAGGGTATTTTTGGAAAATCAACACAAAAATGTCACTCCCTTAAATCCTCAAAAAGTCAAAAAAGGAAATTTATTTGGGGACGGAGGGAGTATTTTTTAGAGCACTAGAAGTGTTGGACTCCCAACCAGATGTAGTTGAAGAAACTGGTAGACCATGAATGAGATTTAATTAACAAAAGACGTTGGTGAATTACTTGGACCTGCATTCTTGTTCTAATACTTTTACAATTGTTGCGTCGACAAATTTTGAAGATTTGTATTTTTGGGAAGAAGACAATCAAGTAAATTGATTAGATAAAAATTTGACCTTCTAAATTTTGATTATTGGAATCGAAAGAAGAAATTTTTTACGATTTAATACGTATAAAATTCGTAAATACATTTAGGGTAAAAAATACGTGTATTATACGTTTGTCACTTGAAAAATTCGTATTCGGGAGTATAATACGCGTATTATACGTACGGGTGTATAATACGCGTATTATACGCGAATAAGCTAACCGAGGTCTCTTCTATTTAATCACTTCCTAGTTTAATTTTACGTCTCAAAAGTCTCCGTACCAAGTACCAACAATATCTAGAATTTTATTTTTTTAAAATATTTTATTTATAAATTGTTATAAAAGAAATACTACATTATTCAAAATAAATTAAAATTTCAAGAAAACAAGCTATGAAAAAAACTATCTTATAAAATGATTAATACAAATATACAAACAAACATAAGTAATCGAAAGACTGTGATTAGTATCTAGGGAGATAATAAATGGAAATATGGATGGGGTAGTAAAAATATACGGAGTATATTTTACTCCGTATATAGTTTAGTAAAAAAAACTAAATTAGAAGTAAAACATACAAAATATATCAAAGTAGAAGTTTCATGTTTTTATTTTTAAAATAGGAGTTAAAATACACATATACCAATCACATTATCACAGTGCAAATTTTTAATATAGGGGAAAACATGGAGTTCATATGTTGGTATTTTTTCTATGTTTTGTTTCTATTTATGGTGATTTTCTATATAATTTTGTTTAAATTTTCCCTTGCTAGGTGGAATTACGTCATTGGACACTTAGGCATGTTCTTTTGGAAAGAAAAAATAGTGTTGAATATTAAAGTAAACGGCAAGACACGGTAAGGAAATTTGAAAAAATTAGTAGTCGTTGAAAAAACATGGAAGGGTTGGAATATATTTGAAAAAAGAAAAATATAATGTTGAATTTAATATTATTTTAAAAATATCAACTTTTTATTACAATAATATTTTTGTTAGATCAGTTGTGTTCAGGATCCACATTTGACGAAATACAACTAGAGAAATTTACATAAATAGGACTAAAACATAATGACTTTTTCAATATAGGACCATATATTTTTATTTCCCAATGTAGGACCTTTGGTCATTATCAAGTAGTCATTATTCAACTAAATGTCCATCATTACTGGACATTATTCCTTCCATTAGGTCATTATTAAGTCCTATTTAGGGAATAAAAAAGTTCAAGTCCTACATTAGGAAAGTCATTATGTTTTAGTCCTATTTAGTGCAAATTTCAAATACGACTAATCTTGATCGGCCGAGTATGCGTATTGAGGCCGAAAGCTTCCTTAGATGGTGGAGTTTGAACTCATGACCTCAAGGTCACCACAGCTTCGCGCCGCCAACTATACGTGCAACCACCCATTGGTACAAAAATTTATACATGCTCTATTTAATTATTTCAAGTTTAGTTTAAATCTCTCTCTCCTTCTGGACATTATTAAGTGCTATTTAGGGAATAAAACGTTTTATGTGCTATTTAAGGAAGCGACTTAAGTTTTAGTGTTATTTAGTGCAAATATTTCATTAAATAAATATAATGAAACGAAAAAACTTAAATTTTTGATTCATTTTCCATAATATAGCATTGTTTATGGATTGAAGGAGAATATGGCAGTAGAACTACTCAAATAGTCAATAAATGGAGGGGTATGAACAGTGTCTCTCGATTATAAATAGGGGTGTATATGTAGTGGAGTTCCAAAAAAAAATACACAAAGCAAAGAAAATGACAGCCTCCATTGTCATCACAATCAACATCGCCACCCCAAATGTTTACCATTATTCGGCCCCAAGAACAATATTCCTAAATAGGAACCGCCCGATGACTCGCCGCCCTCGCCTGCATGTCTCATCATCATGCAACAACAATAAGGCCCCCGCCGCCGCAGCCAACGACGACGATTGGAAGTTCGACAGAAGAAACCTGTTGGTGGGGCTCGGGGGCATGTACGGTTACGGGGCTTTGAATCCGTTACTCGCCTCCGCAGACCCCATCAATGGGCCCGACATATCAAGTTGTGGGCCAGCCGACCTTCCTGACAACGTCGATAAGCTCACGAACTGCTGCCCCCCTATGCCGGCAAGAATCGTGGACTTCAATCAGCTTCGGCGGCCACAGCAATCCGCCGCCCCTATGCGTGTCAGACGGGCGGCTCATCTGGTGGCCAAAGACGAAGCCTACATGGCCAAGTTCACCAGGGCGGTTGAGCTGATGAAGGCCCTTCCAGACAACGATCCCCGGAGCTTCCTCAACCAGGCTAACATCCACTGTGCCTACTGCTGCGGCGCTTATGACCAGGCCGGTTTTCCGGACTTGGAGCTTCAAGTCCATTCTTCGTGGCTCTTCTACCCCTTCCATCGTTGCTACCTCTACTTCTTCGAGAGGATATTGGGGAAACTCATTGACGACCCCACATTCGCTGTGCCCTTCTGGAACTGGGACCACCCGGACGGCATGCAAATGCCTTCCATCTACATCGCAGACCAGAACTCCCCGCTCTACGACCGCTTTCGCAACCCGAAACACATGCCACCCAACATCGTTGATTTCAACTATGGCACCGGATCGGATGATTCATCCGTTCTTGATGCACAACAGCTGATGTCTCAGAATCTTACTATAATGTACCGTCAACTTGTGTCTCTGGGGCCTACCGCCCGTATGTTCCTTGGGAGCCCGTACCGTGCGGGGGATGGCCCTGGACCCGGTGCTGGCTCCCTAGAGTCTGTTCCACATGCCAGCATCCATTTCTGGACCGGAGACCCGTCACAGCCTGACGGGGAGGATATGGGGTCTTTTTACTCAGCTGGGAGGGATATTATCTTCCATGCCCATCACGGTAACATCGACAGGATGTGGGAGATTTGGAAAACATTAGGCGGGAGACGCCGAAATTTCTCCGACCCAGACTGGCTTGATTCTTCACTCCTCTTCTACGACGAAAATGCGCAAATGGTCCGGATCAAGGTGAGGGATTGCTTGGACACGAGAAACCTTGGGTACGTGTACCAAGACGTGGAAATCCCGTGGTTGAACTCTCGTCCCACACCACGGGCATCCAACAATAGGGTTATGAGGAAAGGAAAGAAGGTTGTTGCAGATGCAGGGGCATCCCCTACATCAGCTGACA